GGAGGACAGGGACCTCAGTGGGGTACAATGTCACAGAGTCCACCCTCCAAAGCATCCATTTTCTCCATGGGAAGTTATCTCTGTAGTCTGGAGATGAACAGTAATTGCAGACATCCCCAGGTCTCACCTGGAGGCTGGCATCCCTAGGCAGCACCCTCTGGATGACTTGATACCACCTGATTTGCATGACTCAATTAGGCCCAGCTGCTTGCTACTGTTCATCAGCAGCCACCCAATGAAAGCCAGTGAGGTGCATCAGTTAGAGTTTCAGATTAGGGTCTGCGAGACCCAGGTTCAGATCCCCATCTTGCGGTGGAAGCTGACTGGGTGATTTTGGACCACTCACATACTTTCAGCCTAGCCAACCTCACAGGGTTGTTGTGCACATAAAAAGGAGGAGAGAATAATGTAAGCTGCTTTGGTCCCCACTGTGGAGAAAGACTGTAATTTTCCTAGATAGAGGCTGTGGGGGAGGGGTATGGAGACGGAAAGCTGAAGACAGAGAGGCAGATAAAGGTAGGTTGGCTGTTGGGTGGGAAGGAAATTGTGTTACCAACTCCAGGTTGGGAAATTCCTGGACATTTGTGGGGTGGAGCCTGGGGAGGGTGGGATTTGAGGAGGGGAGGAATAACAGATCAGTATAATGCTATAGACTTCACCCTCCAAACCATACATGGAGGAGAGAGAAAAAGAAAGAAAGAAAGGGGGGCAGAAGGAAGAAAGAATGTGAGACAGGTAGAGGGAGACAGGAGGAAGCAAAGGTGTGAGGAATAGGATAACCATCCCGCAAGTTTCTTGCGGGTCTCCACTTGTAGAACACTAATTAAAAAAAAATACAATTCCAAAATTACAGTTTGGGACTATTAAAATGTGGTTTTACTTAGAGCTTGGGGAGCTCCTGACCCTGTGCTGCTGTCCTATAAGCTTCAAAAAGACAACGGGGCAAAGGCAGATAAGGAAAAGTCATGGTTCAGTTACCTACAGCCTGGACTGTGTAACTTCTTACCAGTTCTAGGATATCTACTGAGTGTCCATCCCCCAGTTGGTTATACAATGACCAGTCCACTAGACAAATCTTAGCTAAATCTCTACAGGAAACTTTTAGATAACAGCACTGTTTAATCTGTGATGGCTCCTTCAAATATACAAGTGTGAATGTTCCTCCACAATAAAAACTCCCTGCATATACAATATGAGCATGTCAGAGAGAAGTCTATAGTGGAATCTTCCTACCGGCTAGCTTTCACAACAGCAATCCCAGCTAGGGTTTCCAGGTTGACTTACCTGGCCAGCGGGAAGTAGGCCATTTTTGGGCCTACTTCCAGTTCCGGACCTACTTCTGGTTGGGGGAGGCAATCTGGTTTTGGGGCAAAACTCTATGTAAACCTGGCTTCAAACTATAGAGTTTTGTCCAAAAACCAGAGTGTCACCCCCCCCCCAACCAGAAGTAGGGCTGAAACCAGAAGTAAGTCCAAAACTGGAAGTAGGCCTCAAAATGTCAGGAGTGGGCAAGAGCCTGCAAAAGCGGGGGTTCCCCAGCTCCCACCATGGGGCTGGCAACCCTAACCCCAGATGTGACTTAGTGGTAGAACAGCTGCTTTGCAGGCAGAAGGTCTCAGGTGCAATCCCAAGCATTTCCAGGTTTTTTTTAAAAAAAGGATCAGGTAGTAGATGATGTGACAGACCTATTCCTGAGATTCTGGAGAGCTGCTGCCAGTTAGAATACACAATACCGACCTTGGCAGACCAGTGTTCTGATTCAGTATAAGGCAGCTTAATGTGTTCATACACTGAAAACCAAACTTGCTCCTAGCTACAGCTCCCTAAACCTACATCCACATATGACATCTAGGTTTCCATCCCATGATTGTGCTACCGTGCAACAGAATGTTGGCAGCTGGCATCATAGCTATAAGTTGTTCTAACAAATTGGCGGTTATACAGGACACACCATTTTAAAAGCTCAACCTCCCCAAACCCACTAGACTACTCTAGTCTCATCAGAAGCAGCTAGTTGATGCTGGAGCTAGAGTGTTACAATATAGTGCTTTATACAGCATGAAGAAGAAACAGCACCATTATCTTCCTAAAAATAACATTTTAATATTTTGCAGTTTGCTGAAATTCATTACTGTAGCTCATAAAACTCCTTTATTGTTCTGGCTTCATCCCTCCATGCAAACATTAGCAGGCTCATTTCCACATCTCTCGCATTATTTTAGTTCTGTTTTACAGAAATGGGGCAGGGAACTTAAGCTCTTTTGTCTTGAGTTTATGGTCAGGCCAAGTCCTCTTTTAAGATCCGAAGAAAATGTTAATAGAGTGAAATGTCTTTGCATTCTTATAAGGAAACTGTGAGGATATATTGTTACCTATGAGCAAGTTGGTTAATTAACTTAAAAGCTCAGAAGGCAGGGTTACCAGCTAAGTTACCAGCTATTAACTTGCGTACCTGTGAATGTGAATAATAATGACCTATCTTTTGTTGTCATGATAGATGAAAGAAAGACCACAAGGTAATAAGTGGGGTGGAAGTTATTAATTCATTACAATCCATATCCATTTTCTCAGCTTTGTTGTCCATGTGTGTAGAAGGGGCTTGGATGGAAATCAAAGGGGTAAACCAGTACAGGAGACTTGTGCAAACCGGTGGGATGGAGCAACAGACAAAAAAACTGGGGGATTAGTGACCTGCCTGGAACACATGTAAGTGATTTGTGTGTGTGTGTGTGTGTGTGTGTGTGTGTGTGTGTGCGTGTGTACACGCGCACGCAAGGGGATGGCTGGATATTAGCCACATTTCTTGAAAAATTTTAACCCAAAATGATTTTTTAAAATGCAAATTAAGCAGGTTCCCCCTCTCCAGGAAATAGGAAACATACATACATGTATAATACACACACAATATTGATATTGGTATAGACTTAACAGAAGACAAATTAAAAAGACAAATTAAAGTGGGTATTTTTATTAAAATAAACTTATATTTTATCCCAACCCTTTGTATATGAGAAAACTTTTTTTACCTGTATTGGTAACACCACAAGGGCAACACAGATCATAATGACAACCAGCAGTTTTGAAGGCCAGATCTTAGGAGTAACATCCCCAAAGCCCACAGTGGAAAATGTCACTATGCAGAAATAAAGGGAGTCAAAGAGAGTCAACTTGTTTCCTGCTCGCTCCAGATGCTGAATTCCACAAATACTATGTAAAGGAAAGAATGAACAAAAACACAAGAACAAGACCCGTAACTAGGTGGGAAAAATCCGAACTGGGAAAATTCTGATCTGAGAGAGGATCAATTATTTGATACGTCATAGAATTCATAATGAAATGAGTGTTTTCAAGGGAATGTTGCAATATAGTTGGTTGGATGCAGACAGCACATTCCCTCAGCAGAATGGAACTTTCCTTCCTCTCCCCATTCCCACTGCATCTCCCTGATCGCCACAAAATGCCACTCCTGGGGAATGGGGATCCTGCAAAACAACACAAGGGGGGTTTGCAATGGGAAGGGGAAACGGGGGAAATTACCAATTTAGTTTGAATTCAGCCTCATGATCCTGCAGAGATTGCCAATGCTGCATGAAGAACAGTTCTGTGTACCACAAAAGCTTGACTACTCCCAACAGATTTCCTTTACACTCTTACCTCTAACGTGAAAAAGCACACTGGTGTTGCTAGGATCTGATTAGCAGTTGGAACTAATGTAGCAAAAAGAACTTGCAATTATAACATAGACTGGTAATTTCTTCTACCACAACCATCGGGGGATGGGAAGAAAATTGCATACATAGAATTTGCTGCATTATAGACAACTTTTAAAGAAAAGAAATAACTCTGTACTGTTAATTTTAGAGCACAGAGGGGAAAACCCTCTGGAACTGTAGAGAGAGAAAAATGCTAATCGCCTGCATGTATTATGTGCGCCATAAACTAACATGCATTATGTAAGATTACGGTACCATAGAGACAAGGAGCAGCTAAAGGACTTTGGTGGAAATCAGCAGGTGTTAATTACTAGCTTCTAGATGTTTTAAATCTGGACAGAGATCAGGCTAGTCAATGCCCTATGCGAACATGTGTAGGATCTAGCAATGAAACATGTTGTTATGCCTACTAGACAACACCGGATGTACTTGCACATAACTTGCTCCTAAACTGCACTGATATTTTCTTGCAATTACTGAGGATGCTTTTTACAATTTTCAGCTGTGTGTGTGTGTGTGTGTGTGTGTGTGTGTGTGTGTGCGTGTGTACACGCGCACGCAAGGGGATGGCTGGATATTAGCCACATTTCTTGAAAAATTTTAACCCAAAATGATTTTTTAAAATGCAAATTAAGCAGGTTCCCCCTCTCCAGGAAATAGGAAACATACATACATGTATAATACACACACAATATTGATATTGGTATAGACTTAACAGAAGACAAATTAAAAAGACAAATTAAAGTGGGTATTTTTATTAAAATAAACTTATATTTTATCCCAACCCTTTGTATATGAGAAAACTTTTTTTACCTGTATTGGTAACACCACAAGGGCAACACAGATCATAATGACAACCAGCAGTTTTGAAGGCCAGATCTTAGGAGTAACATCCCCAAAGCCCACAGTGGAAAATGTCACTATGCAGAAATAAAGGGAGTCAAAGAGAGTCAACTTGTTTCCTGCTCGCTCCAGATGCTGAATTCCACAAATACTATGTAAAGGAAAGAATGAACAAAAACACAAGAACAAGACCCGTAACTAGGTGGGAAAAATCCGAACTGGGAAAATTCTGATCTGAGAGAGGATCAATTATTTGATACGTCATAGAATTCATAATGAAATGAGTGTTTTCAAGGGAATGTTGCAATATAGTTGGTTGGATGCAGACAGCACATTCCCTCAGCAGAATGGAACTTTCCTTCCTCTCCCCATTCCCACTGCATCTCCCTGATCGCCACAAAATGCCACTCCTGGGGAATGGGGATCCTGCAAAACAACACAAGGGGGGTTTGCAATGGGAAGGGGAAACGGGGGAAATTACCAATTTAGTTTGAATTCAGCCTCATGATCCTGCAGAGATTGCCAATGCTGCATGAAGAACAGTTCTGTGTACCACAAAAGCTTGACTACTCCCAACAGATTTCCTTTACACTCTTACCTCTAACGTGAAAAAGCACACTGGTGTTGCTAGGATCTGATTAGCAGTTGGAACTAATGTAGCAAAAAGAACTTGCAATTATAACATAGACTGGTAATTTCTTCTACCACAACCATCGGGGGATGGGAAGAAAATTGCATACATAGAATTTGCTGCATTATAGACAACTTTTAAAGAAAAGAAATAACTCTGTACTGTTAATTTTAGAGCACAGAGGGGAAAACCCTCTGGAACTGTAGAGAGAGAAAAATGCTAATCGCCTGCATGTATTATGTGCGCCATAAACTAACATGCATTATGTAAGATTACGGTACCATAGAGACAAGGAGCAGCTAAAGGACTTTTGGTGGAAATCAGCAGGTGTTAATTACTAGCTTCTAGATGTTTTAAATCAGGACAGAGATCAGGCTAGTCAATGCCCTATGCAAACATGTGTAGGATCTAGCAGTGAAACATGTTGTTATGCCTACTAGACAACACCGGATGTACTTGCACATAACTTGCTCCTAAACTGCACTGATATTTTCTTGCAATTATTGAGGATGCTTTCTACAATTTTCAGCCTTTAAACCCTTCCCAGGTGAAAGTATTAAGGGCTGCTAAACTGCACTGATATTTTCTTGCAATTACTGAGGATGCTTTTTACAATTTTCAGCCCTTAAGATGCTTTCTACAATTTTCAGCCCTTAAACCCTTCCCAGGTGAAACTATTAAGGGCTTATTTGCACATGCAAGTATTATCACTTGGTAAAATATCGCCACTTGGGGAACATATAGGAGACAAATGGAAAATGTGAATTAGCCATTCGCTATATTTAAAAGTAGTACTGAGCGATTAGGTTTACCAGCCTCAAGATGGGGCCTGGGGCTCCTCCAGAATGACAACTGAACGCCAGATTACAGATCAGTTCCCCTAAAGGAAACGGCAGCTGAGGGAAGACTCTGTAGTATCTCATACACTCTGAGCTCCCACCACTGCTCAAGTTCCCCAGGCACCAAACCCCAAATTCCAAATCTCCAGGAATTCTTCAGAGCTGGCAAACCTATGGGAGATACTGAATACCTATTCCTCCCCCAGCACAGCAGTTACATCTAATCCGAGGGGTTCTGGAATACATTTTCAGTAAAATTAAGATGTTGGGAAATCTACACACGGATTTTCCATATCTTTCCTAAATTGCGTTCTTGGTGATTTTTACCTGAATGTAGGAATTGGTTCCACCCAAAAACATTGTGTTTGTGCCATGTCTGGTCCAAGCAAGCAGTCATCACATAATGCTTAAGTGATGAGAATGTAGGGGTACACTCTCCTCTCATTACAAGTATGTACAAAACCTTGCACACAGGTATATAGTTTTATGGTGGGCAATGAAACTAGGGCAGAGTAAACATTCTCCCCATGGCACTTTCCATAGTGGGAATGTGTGTATGTGTGGGTGAGTGTAACCACAGCTCCAAGGCAAAGCACATACTTTGCATGTAAAAGGTACAACATTCCACACCAGCATCTCCAGTGAAAGAATCTCGTAATTACAGAGTACAGACATTTCTGTACAGAAGCTGCCTTATACTGAATCACACTGGCCTTTCTAAGAAATCTGTTAGCAGTTCATTTATATAAGTGGAATTCCAGGGTGAAACAAACAACCCTGGATTTGGCCACACAATTAAATTAACAAACTCTATATACAAGTCAAGCTTGACTTCTTTCAGCACAAACACCTTTTTTGTTGCTCTTTTCCCAACAATACTCATTTACATTCACTCCAGGGGGATAGTCAGTTCAAGCAAAAACAAACAGGAGTCTTATTCTACTTTATTGTACACTGTTATTCTAGCATAAACTTTGGTGCATTACTCCCAGTTCACCAGAGCTATGATGAGGATCCTCAATTGGCAAACGTATGGGATGTGGTTATGGAGTACACAGCAGGATCAAAAGGACATGGCACATAAGGACAGTGTGCCACATTATGACAGTACAAAGACCATTCAAACTAGCAGTAACTGGTGATTATATTGTTCTGCAAGCTGATAATGACTAAGGAATGCTTGGATTGCGTTCCTGGGAAATGCATCAATTCCTTTCTTTTTTATTTACAAGATTTTTAACATGCCTTTCTGCCCCCACAGGGCCACCAAGTCAGCTAACAAATTACAACATGCAAATTAAAACATTATCTTAAAAAAAATAAAACGAACGCAGAAAGATATTATTATTAAGACAAGTTAAAACCAAAGCTTAAAATAAGCGAAAAAGGCAAAAACAAAAGTTAAAAGATTGGGGATGAAAATGCCAAGCAAACCAAAAAAGTCTTCAACCACTGGTGGAAGATAGCAACTGAAGGGGACAAAAGAATCTCCCTGAATCTCACCAGAGTATTGGTGCCATTACTGAAAAGGCCCTCTCCTGGGGTTGCCACCCACCTAATCTTTGAAAACGGGGGCACCCAAAGCAGGCCCTCTGAAAACAACTTCAGTGGTCCAATAGGTTCATAAGGGAGTAGGTGGTTTTTCAGGTATGTTGTTTCCAAACCATAAAGGACCTTAAAAGTTAGCACCAGCTACTTGAATTTTGCCTAGAAACAAATTGGAGCTGGTGCAGATGGAACAAGACTGGAGTGATATGGTCCTATGACTGACTCCAGTCATCCTGGCTGCAGAATTCTACACCAACTGAAGTTTCTAAATACTTTTCAAGGGCAGCCCCATGTAGAGTGTATTGTAGTAACCTAATTTCGAAGTAACCAGAATACGTACCACATTGCCTAGATCTTTCCTGCTCAGGAAGGGCTGCAGCTGTCTAAACAGTCAAAGTTGGAAAAAAGGCACTCCTGGCCACAGCTGCCACCTGCTTATCCAGCAGTAGGCCTGGATAGAAAAGCACCCCTAGACTATGGACCTCTTCCTTCAAGAGGAGTGCAGCCCCATCCAGAATAGGTGACACCTTAAATCCTGCATCAGACATTCCACCCACCAGTAGCATTTCTGTCTTCTTGGGATTGTGCTTTAGTTTATTAGCCTACACCCACTCCAGAACTGCCTCCAAGCAATGGCTCAGGGTTTCTACAGCCTCCCTGGGATCAGCCAGAAGCATGAGATACAGTTGAGTGTCATCTGATTATTGATAAATGTTGTCAATTCAGAGAGACAGAGTGCTTTGGAGGGTTTAGGAGACTCCCTGTTTATTTCCGCAAGAGAAGGGCAATAACATGTGCCAGAGGGTCAGAGAAAACAGGAAAGGCGTTTCAGCTCATGGATAGCCACTTGGCTGACTGCTAAGAGGGGCAGATAGATAACTGTCATGAAGTATCTGCCAGTTAACCTGACTGGAGAAAGTTCGGGATAACTCCCACAAACGGTGGAGCCCTAAAGCTGGGGAAGGTTTCCATCGAAGTAGGCAGAATGGTCTAAAAGGTGGAATCTTCCTTTGTTCTGAATTTAAATACATTGCCCAGATGCTAGAACCCATTTGTTGCTGCTGTTGCCATCAAGTCTCAGCTGAACTATGGTGACCCCATAGGATTTTCAAGGCAAGAGATGTTCAGAGGTGGTTTGCCATTGCCTACCTCTGTGTCATGACCCTGGTATTCCTTGGTGGTCTCGCTTCCAAATACTAGCCAGGGCCAACCCTGCTTAGCTTCTAAGATATGACAAAATCAGGCTAGCCTGGGCTATCCGGGTCAGGGCTGGGACCGATGCTCCTCTGCAAAGGGGGCAGTAGGGACTTGGGGATGTGTTTGCTCTACCAAAGCTAACTGCCTTGTATTGTACTTAGCTAGACCTATGTTTTTGTAATTTTTTCCCCTTAGATCTGTACTTACTAGGCATGGCAGCTATTTTCCATGTATGGTTGCTTGATTAATCTGTAGTAATAAAGTTTCTTTCCTGTTTAAGAGAGCAGACTGTGATTCAAATCCTATCCACAAACCTAGACTGCACCTACACACTAAGAACATGCTTGCACAGGGAGGCTAAAGTAATTGGAAAGCTCAGCCCTTTGTACTTATTATTATTTATTAAACTTCTGGATCGCCCAGTCCCTGACTACACAATGCTCTGGGTGATTTAGAACAGGATAAAAACAATGCAAAATTCCAGATTAAAATCAATAGTCAATTATCCTTAATTTAATAGTCTCCAGATGGCATTCTTAATTTTAGTCAAAAAGATACTCTGGGCTGCTCTTCTATACTGTGGGCAGGTTAAGGGGAAGACAGAAGCAGGCAGAATGGAAAAAAGGAGGGTGGGAAACCGTTGCTGTCCTCAACCAAAGGCAGAGGTAGCCTTACCAAGGCAGCCTTACCAAGGTATCCCAAGGCACTGGTTATGTGATAGGTTGGGTTTTGTAACTTAGGATGGTGGCACAAAGAGAAACACACTTGTACATGCAGGCAATCATAGAACACACACGTGAGAACACATAGACCCAGGGTGTGTTTGTGACAGTAACAACCCTGCCCAAGTCACTGGAAGATCAGTTGTTTCATGTAGGTGCTAAAAAGCACAGGGGAAAAGATGGACCCCATAGGCTAGAAGCCAAGGAACAAGAT